CCGGCTCTGAGCTCGAGCCAGAGCGGGGCGGGAGGGACCGCGGGGCGGGCCCCAATGCGGCGCCGCCCTGGAGATCCAGGCAGAGCGGCGGGAGAGCGCCTAGGAGAGCGGCGCAATGGAAACCCGGGCGCCCAGGCTGTGTCAGCCCGCGGGCGGAGTGGGGCAGCGGGGGCGGCGGCGGGGGACTCTTGCGGAGTCCCCGCCCTTCTTTCCTTCCCTTCCTTTATCCCGCGAGCAACTCCCCTCCCCCTAACGACGAACGCAAAGGGTCACGCGGAGACAGGCGTGTTCTGGAGACCAGCTTTACTGTGCAAGAGGAAGAGGGTCCCCACATCCGGCCGTCACCCTCGTCACCCTCGCCCTTGCCGTTGACTCCTGCCCCAACTGAGGCAGCCAGCGCCCTAAGCCCATCCACAGGGTGGGGCAGGAAGCGAGAGCGCTTTGCCGGCGGAGATGGGGCAGCAGCTCCACCCGTCTGCTAAGCTCACCATCTGGGTGGGTGGCTGCGGCTCTTGCAGAGGCCAGGCTGAGATCTTGAGGTTCAGGGGCACACTCTGACTGGGTTGTATGGCATGGGTAATCAGCCCTCAGGCGCGGCCGCTTTCACTTTGCTCTGTCACCCTGGGCTGCCAGGACGCAAGTCTTTCCATGCTTCACCCAGTGCTTGACTTGGCACTCCCTGCAGGCAAGTGGGCGGGTGAGGATAAAGTGCTTGTGGGGGGTGTGGGAGTGATGCTTAAGGACCCAAGGTCCTAAGATACCCTCACCTGCAGCAATACCACTCATTCTGGCATCGTGAGCAGCGCTTGGAGGCCTCTGCGCTGCAGTGGGCACAGCGGGGCCGCTCTGGAGCCACTGCCTCTAGCACATCTAGCTTGTAGGTCTCAGCCCACCTGGGAAAAGGGGTCAGGAAGGCCTGGCTGGGCTTGGTTGTGGGGAGCACGGGAGCACCCCTACCCACATCCATGCCTTCTGCATCCCTTCCACCCTGTGTGCCAGCTCGGCAGACCTCACCTTCGCGCCTGCAGCCGCAGGTCCTGCTCCGAGGGGCTGAATACATGCTGCAGCTGATGCTTGGCAATCGCCTGCCACTTGCCTCTGTTCTCTCGCTCTAGCCGTTCCCAGATTTCTGGGATCTGGGGGAGAGAAGTGGAGAGTGCCAGGGAGGAGCTGGCAAAGTGGTCCTGAGCAAATAACTGCCCAGTGCCTACCTGTTCCAACACCAGGTCCTTCTTAGGGGGGTGGGGTTCGGTCAGGGCCAGGCGGGCCAGGAAACCCTGTAGGTCTGCCAGGTTGGGCAGCTGGTCGAGCAGTGTGTCTGTGAGGAAGGCTCGAAGCTGCAAGAGTGTCCAGGAGAGGCCATTGTGAAGTGGTACTGATCAGAGGGTCAAGGAACGGAGAGGGACTGGGCTGGATTGAGGGTGCCTGCGGGGCCCGTGTCCCACTAGCTGCCACGTTACCTGAGGCCTGAGGTCTGGAAACAGGCCTGGGGCAGAGGTAGGTGGACAAAGATAAGCAGCAGTGGTGAGGTGGGGCAGAGCTGGGGCTGTGGGGACGGTGTGGGAGGAGTTCCCACCTTGAGTAGCTGTCCCTTGGCAAAGCTTGTGAGGCAGTAGCGGGCCCGGGCCTCAGGGCTCAGCAGCAGGTTGTATAGGGCGATCCACACCTGTCCGTCCAACTTGCTCAGCTTTTGCTGCTCTGAGGGGGCCACTGTCTGCCAACGGCCACCCTCAAATTGCTGCAGCTTGCCTGGGGAGAGGAACCAGCATACCATTGCCTCCTGGGGGCAGACATTGCACGCTCTTTGAGTGGCCATGTGGGCTGGGGAAATGATCATTGCCTGGGCACAGGAGTTGCCCAGACTCTGGTAGCGCTCGCTCCAGGGCGTAGTGAGTCCTCTAGTGAGCACATGGGCCTTGCTTGCTGCAGAACCCAGGTCTGGCCCACTCTGGGTGAGGTATCCTGGTGTCCGATGTGGGCTAGGGGGCAGAGTTTATCTGCTGGTGTGCAAGTTACCAACCGTCACTCATCCTGGAGGATGTCCTGGAAGCAGAGAGCTGGGGCTTAGGCAGGTGGAGAAGGGCCTTACCTCCTTCCCGCCGGCTCCAGGGACTGTGCTCCAGCAGTTCCACCAGGAGGCAGGGAAGGTTGTGGGTGCTGAGCATGCGGCTCAGGGTGCTCAGGGAAAGGCTAGGGACAGGGGTGGAGACGGGTGAGCAGAAGCAACAGGCCCAGGCTCCCAGCCCTTCCCTTCAGGTCTCAGGCTGGCAGGACAGCCCACCTGTCCACGCAGTCTGTGATGTAGCGCAGCACTGAGAGTGCCTTCAGCGCGATCTCAAATTCCATCAGCTCTGCCTGCTTCTGCAGCTCCTGGGGGGCACGTGGTGCTCAGGCCTGGGGGGGCGTGGCTTCTTGGGTCTAGCCCTTGCCAACCCCAGGGAACCTCAGCCTACCTTCATGGGGGTGCTGTACTGCAACTCCTCCTCCTCGGGGGAACCACTGTGGCCACTGCGGGCCACCAATATTGTCAGTTTGCGGTGGCAGTAGTCCACCAGGTCCAAGACCGTGTCCTCTGCTGACTCACACACCTCCTGGGGGCAGGCAGAAGGGAAGCATTCTGTCTCTGATGCACCCCACCCCAAAACATAACCCCCCTTTGACACCAGGGCCCGGCCCAGGGCAGTAGCCACTGGGCAGGACTGATGCCTCACCTTGTGGAAGAACACTGTCTCTAGGAGGTTGATGATGGAGGCCTCGTGGTGTACCTAGCACATAAAGCAGAGAACAGGGTCCAGGGATGCTGATGGAGGGATAGGGACTACCAGCTATCCTCTCTAGTCCAAGGCCCTCTGAAAGAGTGGGCAGGGTGTGGTCCAGGGGCCCAGCTCACCACCATATATATAGGAAAAGTGTTCTGGGGCTTGAAGTCCTCTAGCCTGCACAGCACAGGGAACACCTTCTGCTTCCACATCTCCACTGCGATCAGCTCCTCCACCAGCGTTGGGATCTTTGAGGGGAGGGGACAGCATAGGAGGGATGACGTGGGCTTACCTTGGTCTGGCAACTCTCCTATCCCTGGCTCAGCGTAGCCCAGCTCTCCTCAAACTCTCCTGGGCCCCTAGACTCTCCTACACCCCATGAGTATCTTCCTGACCTCTCTCCTGCACCCTGACCTTCATTTCCAGCTGTCCTCAACATCTATGTGGGGACATCTCCCATGATTCCTGAGACTGGCCCTTGCCTTGTCTCCAGGCTGCCTTGCTCCCCCTCAGGCTAGCTCTCCTGCTTATGCCCTCCCTCTTGTCCCTGTCTCTGGCCTTCCAAGGCTCTTGTATGCCTTATCCTCACCCTTACCCAGGCTCTTCACAGTGCCCTATTCTTACTGCACCCCCCAGAAGGGGGCTCTACCTTTTCCTTGATGAGAAACCCCTATGTCAAGTGATATCTCAGGTCATCTGTTGGTGCCACCTCCTGGCTCATGTTCCAACTAAGCCAATCCCTGGTTTCTAACACTCTCTCTCTCTCTCTC